TTTTTTTTTCTCAACAAAACTGTACAAAAAAGTTTTTTAAAAAAAGTAACTGCCAGCACCTGATGATCACCTGTTAATCTGGATTCCTCTTCACTGTGAGTCGACATACTCATCTTCTGAGTATTTTGATAAGAAGGGGTCAATTCCAGCAGCAGAAAGATCAGGCTTCTCGCAGGTAGTGGGGGCATCAAGTATTTCAAAGTATTTTAATGTGTGATAGGCCTTCGGACCCCCGTGGTTGGGGGGTTTGTTGGCATGCTTAAAAATAGCATGACGGAGTCTGAAATGCAGAAGATGCTAGGTACAGTATGTTTTATCTGGATAAAGTTCACAGAGCATTGTCCAGTGTAAACTCTCTACTTGCTGTTATGAACAACCAATAAAAACAGATAAGCCACTCACTTGGCATTTAAATTTTTGGTTGTATTTGGGATTGTCTGTTTTCTGTTTTTAATTTATGAAACCCTTAATATATAAAGCCTTCCAAATACTAAGTATCTGAGTCTTACTAATGTGCGCCATCCACTATTCTTTTATTAATTTGTGATTAGAATTAATAAGGAAACAGTTGTCACCCAGTACTCAATGCTTATTGTACTTTAGACTTGTAGTTGCTGTTTAGGGTATTTGTATAATGAATGAGGATGCTTCAAATATATATGAATGATGCAGCCATGTACTGGCATTAGAAGGCATTCTGATCTTAGAAAAATGAAATGGTCTTGTTGCTGTGATAGCACTTCAAAACTGCTGTAGTAAAATAAATTCCACTTTATTGAATTTTACCTTTTCCCATGTTCTTGAGGATAACTGGTTTTGTTGATTTCTTCTTCAATGTCTTTGTCACTGAAGGTCAGAGGCAGGAATTTGTGCTTGAAATGTGGTTCTGACTGAAATTAAATTTGAAACCATTATTTTAGTCAGGTCCATATTTGAAACTCAATGAAGTCAAACTTCAAACATACTGTCTTGTAAAGCTCTATAGTATTCATAGTAAATTATTTGTTTAGTAAATCAAGAACAAAACATCCCATTTGCCAGAAATACGTATTTTGTTTGAGAAAACTCCTATAGGATAGTTATAGATAGATAAGACTTTATTGATCCTGAAGGATATGGATAATCTTGTTGTTTGTTAATGAGAAGCAAATCTACAGATTCTTAATACTATACTCTCCCATATACTGTATCTATAGAAGAAGTAATGTAGTCATGTTTCTTTTCGTTCTCAGGTGCCAAAATCCATACCTTTATGAAAAGAGTTATATTCTGGAGAATACTGCCTATCATTCTAGCACAACACAAAATGGCTTGTCAAGTAAACTTTTAAAAAGAAACCTTTTTAGTTTCCTCTTCATTCTCTTCTCTTTGGCCTGAGTTAAGAACCTCCAAGACACTGCTCTCTCCTTCTAGAATCCGATGAGCAGGCATGCTGAAGGGATCCACTAGAATTTCATAAGGGATCATAGGATGTTTCCAAGAGGCTGCTGTATGGATACTCCAAGCCTCAGGTTGTCCAAATGTTCCTTTAAAGGAAAAAAAAAAGAAAAAAAATTCTTAGCCTTATACCTTATCTGCTTGGCACACACTCTTAATAATGCTCTATGTTAAAACTAAATAATAAAAAGCAGGAAATTTGCCATTTGTGTTTACAAATGGGTGCCCAGTTCTTAAAGATAACTGCATTCAGCACTGAACAGATAGATATTTTTAGAGCTCTCAAGTGCTTCAGATTATTATAAGGAGGAAAGGAGAATGCATCTCCATGTATGAGCATGCACTTGGTATGAGTTCCTTGTGTTGTTTTTTGTTTCTTCTTCAATACTGGGCTAGCACAGTAATTCTTATTTTGATCTAAGAACATAAGATCATAGGGAAGGTTAATTCACCACAGCCAGTGGGTTGTTAATGTTGCTCATTATTATCAATGATAAAAATGATGACCTTCTTCAAGGTATTTTCTAGACAGGATGCTTTGGGCATTTTACCTATGAACTCTCCATGAATGCTCCACAGTCGCACTGTACAGTCTGTAGCTGAGGTGAGCAGCACTTCATCTTCATCTACAATCACTAAACTGAATAAAGAAAGAGTAGCTAGCAGACTAGGACAAATAGTACTAATAACCCCCACTATTTCAAATTAATGAATACAAATACATTATTAAAAGTTATACCTACCTAGTGACACTGCTGATGTGTGCACGCCAGTAGTTTGCAGCTTAACAAACAAGAAAGGTGATTTGAGTGAGGATGGATTTGTGTTAGAATTCTGTGCCTTCAAAAGTAATCTGATTATCACGTGGTGAATTTGCCTCACAACTGCATTTGATATTGAAACCCAAACAAGAATGATTGCAGCCAGTGATCATGATCATATAAAGACCAAAAAACATTTCTCCAAAAATACAGTTGCAGGTGTTTGAAGACCCCGTGGAATACTGTGTTGAAGACTAAAGACAGATTGGTCTGCCTTTTTGGGAAATTTTTCACAGTTTCTGTGAAGTGTGAAACATATGCCTGACAAGGTATTCAATCTCCTTGGACTTTGTACTCAGGCCTATATTTCAATTGGGAAATGCAAATGTCCCAGAAACATCAGGAACAGAAATTAAATTTATGAACTGGATTGAGGAATTTTAAATTTAGGAAACTAAGGACTAGACTAGAACAGCTACCACAATTCTATATTCGGTTTCTTCTTACTTCTCCTCAGTACTACTGGTGAGACTTGATAATTGTATTGAGCTGTGACATATTTTGAAAAGGTCAGCTTTGCAAATGCCAGCAACTATCAAATCCTTAAATTGCACAAAGGTCACAGCATGATGTCTGCACTTAAACAGTTTACTGTGGGAAATATAAATAAATCTGTATGATGATTGAGCAAGTCTTACTTTTAGGTGCTTCTTGTTCAGGCGTAAGAGCATAGTCCTTGGTATCGTACACATAGATGTAGCCAGATAGATCAGCAACATAAAGAAGAGTTTCCTCTGCATTCACTGCCATTTTAGTGATCAGGCACTTCATTCTGGACTGAAATATGACACATCATTAAAATATATTTTGTTAGATCTTCCATTATTCATTACTAACTGCAAGACATATTCCATACTTTAAATGTACTACAGTAAAATGCTTTAATTCTTTCACATTTGGAATACGTTAAGGTCACTTATTTACTGTACAGTATGTTTATTAATGATTTGATACAGTTTTTGTTCTAATTGCATTAGAGATCAATGAGATAGTCCGTGGAGTATCATTCATACTCAATTTGCCTTCTCCTAGCTGAACATTCTCTTACGCTATCTGAATCACAAGCAAGCCTGTGAAACTACTTTCTGAGTCTGCTATTTATTAGTCCAAAGAGCTTCAGTAAGACCTTGGTTTAAGGAGGTTTACAAAAAAGAATTGAGCTTAACCAGTATTTGGTGAGATCCACCACTCTTGGAGTCAAGGGCTTAGAGAAATATACTGTATGTGCATACTGTAGCTTTAATTCTGTCATGGGAATTCTTAGCAGCTATCAATTTGTTCTGATGTTTAATTATGTTTTTATTTGGAGAAATAAATTGTTGTTACTCCAAAAAGAAAATTAAATGCCATTCAATCAGAAAACCCAGCATTCACACTACTGAGCTAAATTAAATGTTTTCAGACAGACGTTCTAAAATGTTTCTCTCACTGAAGATAGTATGCAGATCATCAAAATGCTGCTCTTGCTGTCTTTATCCAATTTATGGCTATGTTTATAGTGCTATATCACAAACCAAACACTAAAACTTGTTTCGCAATGATTGATAAAAGTGTTCCATAACACACTCCTAAATCATCTCACACATCAATGCTCACCGCTTCAAATGTAGCAAAAAGATTTCCACCATGGACCAGACTCCAGAAATTAACATAACCTGTTTAGTAAAAAATAATACCTTTAATACCTAGTATTGGAATTAACTTAACATCCCTAGACTATTCAACAGAAAGAGCTAATCTTTTGACAGAGATTTCAGTGAGGCTTTCTAATCTTTCTAATATAAGTATAGATTCCATACAGCACTGCACCAAAATTACATTACTCAATGAAAACAGGAGAAAACAGTATGAATATAAACAATAATGGAAAACTGTCTGGCAGTACAAAATTCAGTTCAGCTACTATTCTTCACTATGGTTTTAGAGTCAATCATCTCAAGCCAATGTATGTACTCATAACAGATTCTTCAAAGCTGTACTAGTACTCTGAATTACAGTACAATCCTCTAACATTGCATGAGTGAACACTGTGGAGTACATTCAATGTAAAAGAAAAGGTAATTCATTTAGACCTTGGTTCATTCAATGTTGAATTGAAAATTTGTTTATAAAGATACTGTATTGATTGTCACTGGGATGTAACAGGACATTAAATGAACCTCTTTTGTCCAATATGGGTCCATATTGTTTGCTTGTTTTTAACAGAAACTGTGACTAACCTTGGGGACCACTTGAAACCAGGCAAGCAGCAGACTCATTGTTCCGAATCCGTGTCTTCAGGAATGTTACACTTGAAACACTTTTATCGATACCTATTAAATACCAAGATAAAACCCTTCATTTCTGTATCAAAATGAATTACATAAAGAGGATGCTTACAGTTTTTAAAGGGATCTTTGTCTGAGAAATGCTTAGTTTTACCACAGCATAACAGAATTTCAATGAGCAGAAAAATAATCTTTGATCTACGATATCAGCTCAAAATTAAAGGGAAATCAGAAGATTTTGAAATACCTTGTTCCAGCTGAGTTTAAAACAGACTATTGAGAAAAAATGTTTGAAATGAATAACTTTAACTTAAAAAGGAATGAGAAGTATTGCTGAGGCTATAAATGAGAGGATCTGTTATATTTTCTCACCATGTAGCATTTTGAAGCATTTTCTCCAAACATCTTTTATTACCCCAAGATACAGGAAAATAATACTGAGCAAAAGCAGAGGCAATGTTCAGTTGTTTTGAATAAAATATGGTAAAAGGCACTGCTCAAAAAGGACCTGTGCATTTATACAGTTACTTCTGCCTTTTTTAAGAAATTAACGTTTTGCAGTCTTCTGGCAACAGCATTTGCTTAAATGGACCAGATGGCATCCCTTCATTTATTTATAACTATTTTCTTCAAGTCCTAAATTGTAACTCCCAAAGGCTATACATAACACAATTTTTTTAAGAAACCACAAACTCTGTAAAATTAAAAATTTAGCTTTGGAAAGTTATCTATTACATTTTTGTTGTTTCTTTTTTAATGTTTCTTGGTTCTTTTTACTGTAGCAGTAATTTAGTAGCTATTGTAGCTATTTAGTAGCTGGAAGAGGTATTAGTGGGGCCAGCATGGGGTGCTCACCCTGCGGTCCATGTGGGTCCTAATGCCCCAGTATAGTGATGGGGACACTATACTGTAAACAGGAGCCGTCCTACGGATGAGACGTAAAACCGAGGTCCTGACTCTCTGTGGTCATTAAAAATTCCAGGGCGTTTCTCGTAAAGATTAGGGGTGTAACCCCGGTGTCCTGGCCAAATTTCCCATTGGCCCTTACCAATCATGGCCTCCTAATAATCCCCATCTATGAATTGGCTTCATCACTCTGCTCTCTTCCCTACTGATAGCTGATGTGTGGTGAGCGTTCTGGTGCACTATGGCTGCCGTCGCATCATCCAGGTGGATGCTGCACATTGGTGGTGGTGGAGGGGAGTCCCCATTACCTGTAAAGCGCTTTGAGTGGAGTGTCCAGAAAAGCGCTATATAAATGTAAGCTATTATTATTATTATTATTATTATTATTGTTGTCATAATGATCTTATGCAACGTTGACAAAAAAATGTCATATACCAGTTCATTTTTTGGAAAAAGCAATGCTTTTCTTGTGTTTGGACAATAATGGTCAATTAACCAGAAACAGACTTCAGATTTCTAGTTTCTGGAATAAAGGCACACCTTTGGCATCGGTGCACTCTGGGGGCACAGGGGTGACCAAACGGGAGTGTATATGTCCTGAGACCATGTTCCACACAACGATTTCTCCATCGTAACCGGAGGTAGCCAGGAGAGATGGAGGACACTGAGCAATGCACAGGATGTCCTCCTTATGTCCACTCCTCTAGGGAAGAGAGAAATGTTCTGAATTAGATAAGCAGAAATGCAGTTCACAGAAGCTAATATATAGACAAATTATGTACTATCAGTTTTTTTGTTAAAGAAAATCCATTAATCTATCATTTTAGTGGTACCAATAAGTTTGCTTACTGTTTTCATAACATTATATTTACAATGGTTTTAACAAGACATCTGGCCTACAAATGCCTATTGGAACCCCTATTCACAGTAATCAAACTATTGTTCGGAGCCTTCTTAGGATGAGAGGGTGTGGGAGATAACACATTCAGACAAGTATCTGTTGTGTATTTGTTTATGAACTGCTCTGTATAGCAGTTCATGATGGAACACATATCCAAACCAAACACATTACTGCAAATGCGTTAAGGAGCATCTGCTTATTTTGCATCTTCCAGCCCCCCTCTCCTCGGAAACAGCACAGTCACAGTATTCACCAGATCATCCTGCCAGTACGGCTGGGGGTTTTGGATGTGATGAACATCATCATTGGAGTCCTGTTAAAAACAACAACATCAAAAAACCTTGAAGTACCTTAAACCAATGGTTACTAGAGAGAGATTTTCTGGTGCTTTCATTTCCATTCATGACAATGAAGCTGAAAATCAGCAGTAATTGCCATCACTAGTGATGATTATTCATGTTGTAAACTATGACAAACAACTAACCACAGTCCTGTCTCCTAGGTCTCACATCATAACGTGAATCCCTAGAGTACGACTGTTTAATTGCAGTCTCTCTTCATTTGGGATATAACTTAAAAGGGTTTTCTATTTTTTTAATGAACTTAGAATCACCAGGTATTTTTCTATTATTATATACAGTCCCTGTCCAATTTGGAATAACCAATTGTGTATTTATGACTTGGCTCCCAAAGACCTGTATGCACACAAGAAAAAAAGGACAGCCTGGCTCCTTCAGCCCACCCATTCATCAAGCCATTCCTCTTTTCCACATACTACAGACTCCACAGCAACCTGCAGGAGGACAGTTGAAATTTGGAGAAGAGTCGTAACCTCCCCTGACATCACCGCCCCTCTAGCCTGTAGCCTGGGAGGTCACAGAGGCCTCTGTTTTTCTGGGAGCCAAGAAATCTGTGATCAGTTAATTCCAACCTTATTCTTCATGTTTTGAATGAAGTGCTTCAGACTTGGAATCTTTACTTTTTCATAAACACATATTCAAAATATATGCAGGGTCTACGGTGACAATTTAAAACTAACCATATGGGAACCGAAATCTCTTGTGGGAATAAAACCAAAGACTGGATGGCCCTCAACAATTAGTCTGTTTGGCCCCCAACTATTAGACTGTGTGGTCCTCAATAATTAGACTGTGTGGCCCTCAATGATTTGACTGGATGGCCCTCAACAATTAGATTGTGTGGTGCTAAACAATTAGACTGTGTGGCCCTCCAATCTTGTCTTGGGACTTGTGAAATCTGAGGCCAGTCTGCGTCCTCCAGGCTTTATTCTCTCTGTTGTGTAACTGAAAACAATTCAGAGGGAGGCTTTCTTACTTCAAAACTTTCCATAGTTTCCAAAGATAACTGATGTTAATGTGAAATACATCTCCTTAGTCCTTAGTCTGAGAGGAGGGTCAGCAATGAGAAAAAGTGGATTTGAAAGGCTGCACCTTACATACACGATGGAAAGAGACTAGGAGATGTTTATTGGCACTCACAATATGAACAAGAATGTGGCTTTTTTAAAATCTTTACAAAAAATCCTGAACATAAAACCCCAAGCAGACTAAGCTCTGTAATTGACACTATTTAGAGGACTAAGACAATAATGAAATCCTTCCCAGAGCTCTTTAATGTCACACAGAACATAAGGAAATGATGATATGGAGATAAGAGATTTGGTAACCAGGGTAACTACCAAGAAAACTGACTTCAGAGCTTCTTTGTGAGGGTGGACGGCATGCCAAGTAAATCTAAAGGCTTTTTTTTATTATTTTACTCTCCAGTTTTCCTGTCTAATCTTCTCATACTATTCTAATATACAGTGGTTTTTCCTTATCTCTTTGATTTCACAACCATGTACTGAGGGGAGATTACTTAATTTCCTGTTCAGCAGCAAAACGCTATCAGGGAAAGAACACAGATAAGATAATAAGATGTAATCATCAGAAGAAACTATTTAAACCGGCAAAAATTATTAATAACCTGATGATGAATAGTGTAAATAGAATTATTATCCTCAGGCAAGCTATCTCTCTTCTGTACTTCAGGGTTACCTTACAAAAATGTCCTTAAATTGAAATAAATGTCAGATATAAACTACTTTTTCTGTCTTAGGGTAATAAAAACATTTAACAATTATATATTTACTTTGAATTTACCTGTTGTTTTTTAAATTATTTTTGAAATCCTTGTTTCTGAATTCCAAAAAGAAAATGTTGGTTAAATCCTTTTTCTAATATTGCTCGAAAAGAAGTAATACTAATCAGTCATTTGATGTGTAGCAGGTTTATTGCTGTAAAATGTTGGCCATTCTGTTTCTGGGGTAAATGTTGAAGTGAAACTGAACAAACTCACACAAGCGTGCCTTACCGGGGATATTGTGTTGAAGTCTTAAAAAATACCACAGATGCTGAATATTGAATAATGCATTTCAGTTGCATCTGGTTGTACAACACTTTACTACAATTTACTAGATTACACAATTGTGTTAAGTGAACTGAAAGTACAAAACTCCCCCTAGGTGAGACACTGTTCCATCACAGGTTAACCTCCTAGCAATGCTGGTATCTACTTTATATACTGTATATATTGCACTGGGGTGGACTGGATCAATAGAAATAGAGTATGGATAAAAAATATAACAACAATGTTCACTTTAAGGTTAATTCTTAACTAGGTATGAGAGTATAAATGGAATGTTTTTCACCCAGTATTTTTTACCCAGCAAAGTTTTCAGCCCCTCAAAGATTCACCCCTCAAGGTGAATGTTACATGGAGCACTGCATGAACTCATTTCCCCTACCAATTCCACCTAAAAAAACAAAAAACATTTGTGTTTATGCCCTTTTCTTATTTTGCCTTTTTTTTCCTCTCGAATACACTTACAAAGTACATGTCAATTCTTCGATCCCAGCCCACAGCCATGACATAGCTGCAAAAAAGTAAAAGAACAACTTAAATATATTTCAATATATCTTTTTCAGTTGAAACCTCATTTAATCAACACACACATTGCTTTCACAGTGACAAACACACAGTCGAAAAAGGATGAAGAAATTTGAATATGTAACTCACTTGCTTCTGTTCACTTTAACATAAGTGCAATCACAGACTTCATCGCTCTTGCCCTCTGGGAAAAATAAACACAGATGAAAAATTACTGAGTGGAAGACTGAAAGGCTTTTATGTCCTGGAAAGTGGTTTCAATGAGTCTTGAAGGGGATCTTAAGAAACTAATTGATAGAACTGTCGCAATGATCTATAGCAAGTCTCTGTAGACACCTACAAGCCATCTAAATGTTATTTTTGTAACAAATACTGCAATGCACTCTAAATATTTCATCTGTAATATTTTATACATATAGTTTAATCCTTAATGGTCTCTAGAAGATCACGTCTTGATGTCTTTGACAATAACTTAAAATAAAATACCAAATATTGCGTCATACCTTTTTTTAAAATCTTTAAACAGTGACCATTATTGAAGTTCCAGATCTTTAGACATCCATCTCTTCCTCCAGTTACAAGCCTTTGAGATAATTAAGCATGATGTCATTATGTACTTACTTAATTTGCATACCAGATACAAATCATTTCTCCAGGTCCTGCAAACTAACCTTCTGCCACTGATGTCAAAGGTCATGCATGTGATAGCAGAGTGGCCATGGGCATCACCAAACTCAAAGACTTGACCTCCTGTATCAAAGTCCCAGACTTTGACAACCTAAAAGGGATACATCAATCAGTTTCAAACCAGGAGAAACTCAGTGAAGCGAATACCAGAAAAAGGGATTCTGATCTAAAATTTGACACTGGAGTCCTTATTAGGATAAAAATAATATAATTGTAATTATTCTAAAAAACAAGGCCAAGAAATTTATCAACTGGAATGGCAAAAATAGAAAACATACTGGAACTCAGTCACAATATAGTTTGCTTTATCTTACTCTACCCTTCCTCCACCACATCACACTACTCCCAAAAGCACGTTGATCTCTTCAAAAATGCGAATAAACACCAAATGAAAAACAGAACTATTAAAAACAGTAAAATATTTATGAAAAATAAGCAGAGAAATTCTAAACATAAACAGCAAAAAGGGAGTGAGATTTGTTATTTTAAGGAAACTGCTTGGTTGAGTACAGTGTGATGGTCTATTATTGCTTTAACCTGGAAAAGTCCGTAGGGTATTTTGTATTTTTTATTCATGTTTTAAATACCAGAGGTTAGTTTGGCATAACAGGATTAGACTCGTACTACATGTGCATTTGCTGATAAGTGGTTTGACTCAATTGTTTCCACTCACAGATCCTTCAGTACAGCTGACCACCTGTCTAAACTCTTTACTGTAACCACAGCAAAGGACAGGCTCTTTATGGGATACTGTCAGATGGCCCTGAGGCTGGGATCTATAAATGAAAAAAAAAGAAAAGTAAGATATGGATCTGTGAGATCCTTACATTTATCCAACCATTTTCTAACCATTTCACGGAGGAGCTGGAGCCTCAGCAAACAATGGGTGCAAGGCAGGATACACCTTGGAGAGGACGCCAGTCCATCACAGGGCACATAGAGACACAAACATACACACATCAGAGCCAATTTCTTTGAATTAACCCTAGTTAACCTATTAGTGCGTCTTTGGACTCTGTGAGGAAACCCAAGCAACCCAAGCAAACAAAGGGAGAACATAAAAACTCCACACAGATACCACCCCAGGTCAAGAGTTGAAACGAGGGCCCCAGAGCTCCAAGATAGCAATGCTAACCACTGCAGTACTGTGCTCTCTCCACCCCCTGCAACAATAATCAGATCTTGAATTTAATCTGAATTTATTTTGATTTTCTTGGTTTCAGGTGCTTTCCAGTAAAGGTAATTCAATTCATTAACTTTCATATTTAGTGTTTCTCTAAACAAAAAAAAAAGACCTTTCTAATATTGGAGAGAACAGAGACTTCACGTCTCTCTGCACTGCCCTGGCCCCTCCTAAATCCAGAACACTCACAATTCCTGTCAGTATTCCCACTGAATTTCAAACTTGACAACATTTTAGCCAGTGCTAAATCATTCTACTCCAAGTAGAATATGACCTCTTTAGAGATATACATCTTAGTCAAATCACTTTATGGGGTGATCTAATAGCATAAACGATATTATATTCGTATAATATTTGTATAGAATTATATCATAAAATAACATAAATAAGAAGTATGGATTTGGTCTGTGAACTCCTTGAAGCCGCTGATTTTCGACTGTGGTTCATGCTATACCTACTATAATGTCATTCCAAAAACAATGACAGCTGCGTTTTTCATCGTTACTCATGGTATGTTGTAGTATGCCTGCTGCAGTACAACAGTTAATTGAATACGCTGAAGAAAGCAGGACTCAAAAGGAAAGACAAGAACTCACTTTGTCCTCAAAGGGAGAAAAGCAATGGAGTCAGTGGTCACATAGAGAGCTTTCACAGTGGGGCAGAAAAGACAAGCTGAAACCTCTCCTTGGATTCTGCTGGCCTTGGGGTTAGCTGTAAACAGGCAGGACTGGTCCCGAATATCCCATATCTGAAATCATTACCGTTAAATATAAACAAATTTGTCTATGGTGCCAGAAAATACACTGTTAAATTAATTCTTGACCTAACATTAATTAGGCATTTTTACCATTCAAAAGTTAATAGAGTAACAACAGACTAAACATATATGTTCTAGGAAGGACAAAGAGAGAGTCACTGAACGAAACCCTAATGTATTTTAACCACTCATGACTACATATGAGTAATACATTCTATTTGATGTTAAATATATTAAAAACTTATCAAGCTTCTTAATGTTTTAGTAAATTCTGCATTCTGCATTGAACCAAGTATTGAAGAGATTGTGCCTTTTCATAAATAAATAGTGGGGGACAGATTTATAATTCTCAGGAGTTCAGAACAAGTGGACTGCTCACATTGTTTGCTCGAATTACCTTGCGGTATATGTAAAATCAAACAATGGGATGTACCGTTAACTTTGATTAGTATCAGTGATGGTACAGTAATAATAATTTCTTTATTTAGTCTGACACAGCCTTGCTTTGTTTTGACTAAATTATAGGATTCTCCATCTTCACTGCAATAACACCATAGTTTATAAATAAACTGACATCAATCAAAATATAATGTGAATGGGCTCCTGGAGCACAGGCTGAGCCATGTGGTCTAAATTTCTCTTTTTTGAGTCCGAGCTATGTCATTTTCCAAAACTGAGTAACAACCAAAGGGGAACCTCACTTGGCTAAGTGCTGTCTAGCGTGGGTGGGTTTTCCTGCCTGGCAACAGCAACACCTGTGGCTTCTCAAATGCCCTTGAAATTTTGCAATGTTGTCATGAGGACATCAGGGACAAAGGCAGGGCCAGCCCTTGGCTTAGGCAAACTGGGTGACTGCCTAGGGCTCAGAAGCCACCAGGGGGAGCCCTAAATGTGCAACACAACATACTGTACAGTATATTTTTACTGTCAGTCAAATATTCCCTCCAGTGGGTCTTTCTGTTGTTGCTAGGCTGTTCAAGTTTATTAGTAATATTAGTTACAATAACTGTAATAATTCATTTGTATTTCATTTGGTTTTGAGTCTGTCAAATCCATGTAATTAACAAACAGTAGACAAGCCACATTTTCAGGTTAGACATTTAGACTGTTTGAGGTGTTTTACAAGAAGTTAACAGATTCATGATTCACATTATTACTGTCAATGTTAAAGTACATGTTATCTTTGTTAAACGTGTGCTTCTTGTTCTTTGTAAGTTATTTTTAATGTGTTCTTCAAAGGTGGTTAATAAAAGTATTCTAAATAGTATTACAAAATTGGGGTGAGAGCTGGTAATAGTAGTGTATGCACTAATTGTGATCTGGAAGAGGAGTGGCCTCTTTCCAGAAAGTCAGGGCGAGCCCTGGAATAAGGAATCAGGAGATTGGTAAACTGGTAATGATTGGGAGGAGGGACGAGTGCAAAAAAAACAAATCCATTGGGAAAAGGGTGATCGTTACCTACAGTATATTTATAATTAGCTTCAGTAATCGATTAACACCCAATAAAATTAACTGATCATCTTGAAATATATGGAGAACTAACCTTGATGGTATTGTCAGAGGAGACGGAAAAGATCCTGTTTTCCTCTGTAGAGATATATAGATACAAAATGGGTGCACAGTGACCTTTCAGGATGCCAGTGGGTTTCCTGCAATGAAAATTACAGTTGAATAAATCAGGTGAACAAAAATGTTAAGCTCTATTGTTATGTGGTCTTTGAAAGAAATGTAAGCATAACTAGACTAGAAAACAATGGTCTGGTGACCCTGCACTGCGAATTCAGGAGCCTATGGGCACATGTGAGAAAGAAGAAGAATGTCATCACATGACATCCATTGCTAACACACAAAATAAAAAAAAGGATTGAAGTTAACAAGAGGTGAAGAATGGCACAGTAAAAGGTTTTCACAACCAGGAAGAAGATTCTGAATATAAGGAAATTATAATGACATTATACAAGGAACATGTTCAGTTTTAAACTGATCTGACAACAATCAAGTTAATCAAGTTAAGATCAGCTTGAATCATTGTTTTCAAGAATATGATTCAACTTCTACTTAGTGTAAAAAAGTAAAGCATTTAAAGTTCAGTTGAACTCCTGTTTAGATCCATTGAGTCTGATATGTTGAACCCAACTTTCCAGCCTTGAGTAACTCCACTTCTCCATTAAATTCTCTATCGGGACTTTCCTTTTGTTGAACTATTAAATAATACTGTGAGTTTTCAGAAAATTCATTTCACTACAGTACATATATTTTCTAGGCACCATGGTTTAATTAATCACTGTGATTCCTAATTGTACTTCATAAAATCAAGATTTCACTTTGCAATTGTCTTCATGAGATGGAGGCTGGATCTGGCTTTTCTGCATTGGCTTGTCATTATTGATGAAGTCCTTACCCGGGTACATAAGGATTCCACATTCTTATAATCCTGTCCATCCCTCCAGTGACTATTAAGTTGTGCTTTTTGCAGAAATCAAAGGTTTTCACCCCTTTGTAGATGGAGAACACTGTTTGATCGCAGTTGGCTCGTTGCTGAGGAAGTCCTGAGTAAGCCTGAGACCTTTTGCCCTTCCCTTCTTCAATTTCTCTCATCTGCTGCTCAATATTAGTCGTTGGAAAAGTGCAACCTTTTGAAAAAAAAGTCCTTTTGTTTAATATTGTGCTCAGAAAAACCAAGAGTTAAAAGTGCATTACCTCACACTAAACATATGTCATAGAAGATTCTCCTGTGATTTGGAAAGAACAAATCTCTCATAAACAATGACAAAATGGAAAGTTAGACTGACAACACACAGATTTTGAACTCCAAATGCAAACACATCCAAATTTCGCTGATTCTCCTCAAGAAGTCTGCTGCTTGCAGTTGGAAGTTTTTAACATTAAAAGCACACATCTGTTAAAGGCTTGTGTAATTTGGGTGTGCATATACACAGAGCATCACACCTTCATTCTGGTCTCGTTTTCTTTGTTTTAGTTCTGCTATGCCGGGGTTAACTTTGATCACGCAGAATTTCATCCTGGCAGAATGTGACAGTGAAGCACAGCAGGCTCAGAATTCAAAGCCTAAACTCAGCGTGCTCTTCCACCACAGCTGAGGACTGATTCATCCCTGATTTTCCCTGTGGCTTTAGGCATGTTGTTAATGTCTGATTAATGGGAATTGTGCTACATTAAAAGTTATGACTGACATCTCATCTTGCATTAAATAGGCAAGGTAAATTGCAGTTTTTACAGAGAGTTTTACACATCTCATGCTTGAACACTCCCATGTGAAAAGGCAATGGCTTCATGCTCTCTTTTGAAACATTACAAGAAAACTACAAGGGGCACTCTGGTCCCAGCTGAGGGCCCTTGGGTTATATGAAATACTTTCATTTAAAATCACTCCAGCATATCTGATAACTTATTTCAATGATATCTCTTTAACAGACTGTATAGCAATGTAAAACCAGTGATTCCTGTTCTCCTCAGTGTATCATTGGTGGTATTCTAACCAGAACTATGAGCCTTGGTGAGGGCAGGGTGGTACCATGGTTGTTAGCTCTAGGGTCCTGCAACTTGGGTACCTTCCGTATAGAGTTTGCATGTTTTTCCTGTGTTCATTTTGGCCTTTGCCAAATACTAGAGAGTCTCTTAACTATCCCAGTGCGGATAGGTGCTCTGTAAAGGCCTTGCATCTTGTTTAGCCTGTATTCCTGCCTTGTGCTCCATGCTTCCGGAATGTGTCCTGGGTTGCCATGACACTTTCCAGGACCACGCAGCTGTCTGGTAATGGATGAATGGTATTTAGATGAGGGTCCAGGTAAGGAACATCTGTACTCCAGAGTTCTTTGGCACACAGATTATGTTCTGACAAGAGCCCTGTTATCTACTTCAAATGGATAATGGAAATGGAATGATGACCAAATGAACAGGCCGGCTCATATTTGAGGGTGTTTACTGAATCAAATTTAAAAAAAATTGAAAGGTTTTTTTTAAAGAAATAATCCTATATTTTTTTAGTAGTCAATTTATGTCTTAATATTTCACAATATGTCCTATGTAGCCAATATGTCTTAATATTTCACAATACACATACAATACACAATTATATTGCAGAGGAACACCTGACTGCTGAGCTTCCTTGGAGACACCGGATAATTACATGCATGCTATGTACATAAATAATTACCGGATTTAATTGCACAAACTGTGCAGACAAGAAAACACACTGTCCATCCATCCATTTTTAATAAACACTTAGTCAAATTTAGGGTCATGTGACCAGAACCATGCAGACAATGGGTGCAAAGTAGTCAGAAACCATTATTTTTTCTTTGAAGGCATTCATTTTGGTATCATGGTTCACAGTTCTTGTTTCCAATTCCGCTGTACACCTGGTGCACAAATACTCTGTGGGGAAAGTGCTTGTTTTGCACAGCTGTTGCCTGGAAATCCTAGTGCTGGTGGTAGAGTACTTGGCAGCACTGGGTCTGCCTCATTAATGAATGACAACAGAGGTTCAGTATTCATGGAGCTTGGACTGGACTTGACAAATCAGGTAGATGGAATATGTTGGGGATAAGTACACAAGACCAGTTACAAACAAACAGAAGTTGTTTGGCCCAAGTAGCCTGTCTAGTAATTAGTAGCTAATTAATCCATCTCATCCAGCCAAATGACGCCAGGGTATCGGCTTCAATGACATAACTGTGTACCTTATTCCATACTCCCCACAACCCCAAAGAACAATTTCCCACATTAAGAAAAGGAAAACTTTACTGAGGCACGACAGAGGGGGGTAACTCTTTAGGTGGAAGCATGCAGGATCAGGTAGACTCACCTATGACTAAAGCAGAAGATTCATGGTTTGAAGTTGAGATGACGGCTCGTATGCCTTCATAATATTTGAGCTGAAAAAGGTTGAAGAAAGATGTTCATTTTTAAGTTTTTGGGAGTCTGCAAACAGAAAAAAACACTTTTGGTCCACTTTAACAAAGCTCTACCTTTTCTTAAATGACTAAAAGCTAAAGAAGAGAAATTAAAATACCTGGGTTACCCAGTCTTCATGAACCTTCCATCTAATGTATGTTATGTGTGGTGAAAGAACAGCATTGTCAATTCCTATGTTAGGCACATTTTCAACTTTTGGCAACTTCTTCCATAGTCTAAAAAAGGAATTAACATAAATACAATAATTTGTACATTTACATAAGGCAAATATTATGGTATTAATAACATTTCTATTTTAACTTCCAATAACTATTTTTTAGTTATGGCAACACTATCTTATTTATCTGTCTTTTGTTTATATAATGTATCTATCTACCTTATTTATCTAATCGCAGTTTTTCTAATGCTTTTGTATTCACGCATTCATTATTTCCAACATTCTGAACATTAATTATTTATTGTAAAAAGTGTGTAGGCTGTATGTTTGAACCTGCACAACTGTTCAAAGCTTCTTTAAGTCACCCTGTCATCTAAATTTTTGCTTGGCTTTCGTACTGTTTTAGAGAAATCAGCTAAACAAGTTACAGCTTTAATGAAATTGTAATTGCAAATTCAAAACAGCATGATGAAACTAATTTCAATTTCAACTAATTTCAAGATGATGAATCACAGAATTAACTTCTGAGCTAAACTTCCTTCTAATTTAACGATAAAACATTCCTTTTGTAATTCATTTTATTAATTTTTTTAAGTAACATAATTACCTTAATGTCTCTCCAACTGATGTCATTACAATTATGTTCACGCAGCCCTGTAAGATTGAAATGTTTCATGTTTTATCAGCAATTTATAAAAAACTTGTAACTAAAAATGCATGTATTAATGTGATTTCAAGTTTTATTAGATACCTGGGAATCTCCATAAAGAATAAGACACTCATCCTGGCCTGTGGAACTGCAAAGAATTAAAAAAAACACAACCGTGAGATCAATTGCATGCATGTATTTTTTCCAAACAGAAAACATACAAAAAACACTTGCTTGACAATGATAACCACTTTGAAAGAATTTTTTAATTTTTTTGTAAAGAAATCTAATGCTTAGAGAAATGCATCATCCATGATTGTTGAAATCCATCAGAACACAAAGATGAAAAACTCTACATCTGCTACAGCAATGGGAACATGTTCCCAAAGCATACAATACCATTCAATTGTTAGACAAAAACAATAAAGAGCAGAACATACATTATTCCTTGTGCTATTTTTCTTTGCTGCATTCCTCTTGAGAGTGGCTGCTATATAACTTGATTAAATTATTCAATTAAACATTGCCCATAAAAAAGGACAGACGAGCAAAATTTAGACCAAATATCAGCTATGACACTATGCATTTGGTGATATGTATTCAGATTCAGTGTTGCTCTTACTGTCTAATCAAAAACTACAGTTGTGCAAAGCTCTGAAAACCAACATAAAAAGAACATTACTAGCAGTGGAATGAACAGAAAGAATGGACATGAATCTCACCAGTAGTCTATTCTTAAAGGTACCGTTTCCAGTGCACTGACTTGACAATAAGCTGCCAAAGAAGAGAGTTCATAGAGCTGGATCTCCCTGTCTCTGAAACGAGCAAAAAAATGTGCATTTATCAACATTCTCTAACTCCACCCGTATGCAATTTTATATATAGCACCCCCAAATCATAGGTTGTTCACAATTTCCAAAAATCATAATTTCCTTATGGGCCACTCTTCTGTGTCTTGCCAAACTAGCTTAAGTAAATAAAGCAAAATATGTTTTTGTTTTCATCATTGACCACTGCGCCAGAGTGCCTGTGTGGCTGACTTGGTGGAGCAGTGGTTAGCACTGCTACTACATAGAACTGGAGCTCTGGGTTCAGTTCCAGGGGTGCTCTCTGTGTGTTCACACAGCTGCAAGAGTGTATGCTCTCCCTGTGTTTTTGTGGGTTTCCTCTGGGTGCTCTGGTTTCCCCCCACACTCCAAAGATGTACTGGTAGGTTAATTGGCTACTGGGAAAAATTGGCCCTGGTGTGAGTGCGAGAGTGTCTGTGCTTGTCTCTATCTACCCTGCAACTGAGTGGTGTACCCACTTTGCACCTGTTGAAAATGTCAGAAAGTGGTTAAATGAATGTATCCTCAGGAGATTTCAATTATGACTGCAACATGGGTTCTCAGTATATGTGGCCAGCAGGATTACCACCATGTGGCCTGATCCTAAACGTTTTTCCTAAAACTGACCAATGTTGGGCTTGCTCAGTCCTGGGATCAGAAACCTTCAAGGAGAACCAAACTGCTGCTGTAAGAGGTATGGGTGGATCTGTTAACCTGCACCAGAATCTGCAAAAACCAGCACCCATTATGGTGTCCAGTCACAGTTCTTTCGTTAAATGGTGGTCCCATCTCCTTCCTCATTAAGAGATCCCACAGCAATTATTTTAAAAGTAGAGCTGATAAACCTATTATCCTGGCTGGGTTTAAACAGATTGGATTTCGTAAATCCCCCCCTTAATTCAATTGAAGTAATTTCTAATTTCTCTATCTGATCTGTTTTTTGGGCCTCTGGTGCATAATGACAGCAGTATGTCAACCAGATGGGTGGTGCACTTCAGGGAAGGAGGGTGGATCACTTTCTATATGTGTTTTGACATCCTGTGACATTAAAATCGTTCTAAAAATACAAAGGATTACTGTAATTATTACAAGAAGTTTGTATGACAAAGTCAAAACCAGTTTGGGATGTTCTGGTTGCAAGAATAAAGACCATATTACTGGTCTACCAACACTTCACAAACTTGTATTTCAAGTTGGTACTGCCCATTTTATAGCAAGGGCACAGTTGTTTTAGGAAAACACATGGTACCCTATTATTAATATAACAATGGCTGCTGGTCCTGCAAAAGAGTTATAATTTTACTAATACTGATGATAATGATGGTAAGAAAAGCAATAGTACCCGGTTCCAAGAATCAGCTTGTTGTACTGTGGCATAGTGACAAAGTCTGTGACCCATTTTGGTTTTCTGTTTACTGGTCTTTCCTAATTGAAAGAGAGAAAAAATCAGAACAGACACACAAAGATAGTGTAGTTTGCAAAAGGTCCGGTATCGAGCACATACAAACACCATCTTGCTCTTCTTCAGCTTCAGCTCAGGAGTCCAGTAATAGATGGCACCGTCCTCTCTGACAGTGACCACTGTGCTGTCTGGTGTGGAAAGGACTCTCAGGATGGGCTCCCCATGGCCGATGTCTCTGATAGTGGCTGGAAGTGCAAAGGATACCTGCTTCTTCCGAGTGACAGACTCCTCTTTCTCCGTATACTCCAGATGCATGTAAGTGCAGAAATCATCCTGCAAGAGGATAGTGCTCTTTGGATCTCAGGGCCTCACTTGTAAGTATACATTTTCCTCATTTGCAGTTGCTACTTGGAAGCCATTTACAAACCATTTGAAAACCAACTCCATTTATTTCACTGAGCATAAAACTGTTACTCTTTGTGGCTAGTCATCAGGCTTCTAGCTGGGTTTCTGTGTGATGATGATGTTGATTGGGTGACATTTAATTAAAACTCAAATCTTCACACTACTCTTTTCAAGAAGCTCCCTGGGATTTTTAATGGCTACAGAAACTCAGGACCTTGGGTTTACATTCCATCCAAAGAACAGCGCCATTTTTTACAGTATAGTATCCCCATCACTAAACTGGAGTATTAGGACCCATAAAGACCACAGAGTGAGGACCCCCTACTGGTCTAACTAACACCTCTTCTAGCAGCAGCCTTAGCTTTCCCAGAAGTCTCCCATCCCAGTACTGACCAGGGTCACACCTGCTTAGCTTCATTGGGTTGACAGCTGTGAGTTGCTGGGTGATATACAGTATCTGCTAGCCCCTGTTCTTGCCCTGGTCTTGCTCTAGCAATATTAGTCTAGCAAAAGAGACTCGGAGAAAGTCTAAATCAAACAACTAGTGCAGCAGCAGAATTGTATACACCTAAGCCGTAGAATAAAAAATATCTTTGCTTCAGCGGCAGCCATGAAAAAGATGCACTGCCAGCAGTCATTCACAGTATGGGATGAAGAAAATGCTTGTCATCCTTTAACTGTAACAGAAACAGCTTTTTCATGTTCTGTGTGATATGTCCTTAAAGAAAATGAATCCAAAATACAGTACAGAGTGAAAAGCAAAACACAGACACATATCTCCATGCACTTTATTTTCTGCCAATTTGTTTAAACATTTTGATTGGTTTAATCAAACATTGTGTTTTTACTTTCTATATAACTATAACTATTCTATATCTAATTCTATTATTATCTAATATACTGTCTATGTCTAGTCATAAATGGAGGTCTAAAAAAGCAGCAAAGCAAGAATGTGCTAATGAAATCACAATATGAGCTTCAATGAGATTGTAATGCTGTCAATATTTTAAGGAAGTCTGCTAAGACAAAAAATGGTTCTCACCCATTCAATTTTCCCATTCGCTGTGTAATCAATCTTCATGAACAGCTCTTGGATTTGTTCATCGCTCTGAAAATTGCACAGCAAAAATAATATTACGTAGTTAAATGTTCTTACAAAGCATCACACAACCCACCTGATAAAATTCATTAAAATGTATTATACTTACTATTTATTGTGTGATTATGGCTATTAATTTTATACCTGCACTTATTATAAAACTTTATCAAGTTTTATAATATCACTTCATCAATTCAGTGCATTGCCCAGGAACTGGTCACCTACTGTATGAAGCAAATACATACATTTATGGTAGCATGATTTTAAAATGTATAGATGTAACTTAAACCCTCTCTGTATCCTCAAATATTTTAAACAAAAAACATAGAACTTATCGATGTTTACAGATTCGTAACTTGGATACTCATATTTATGCAATTGTTTCCATAGAATCACAGGCATATTTTTGTAAGCATATTTTTGTCTAGTCTCTGTACAGTTATTACCTCCCATTCATATTTCTTGTTTTCCACTTTCATTGACATACTGTTCTTGGCTGTCTTGAAGATTAATTTCACCATATAATCCAATTAAAATCCGCTAGTTCTCCTGTGCACTCAAGCTGTTCAAAAGCTTGATTTCCAACTAGTTACTCAGGAGTATACAAGAACCTACGGTATTATCGTCAGGCTCGGAGGTCATTAGGAGCACCGCACAAGCCAAGTAGATCTCCCTTACTTTCCCAACATACATAAAACAATTCAGCAGTTCTTTCACAACTGTGTGAATGACGTAACAGAAATTGCCTGGGACACATCTGTGAATGGCAATTCTGGCCTAATCTCTGTCAGACCTGTTTGAATCCCGATATAAGAAGGCTTGATTAATACTTCATTATCAGGCCCTTGCACAGTAAGTTGTTAAAATGTCAAATTTAAGTGTGACTTTATAGTTTGGCCGGTCAGAAAAATAACATTTCCCATGCCCTGAATTTCAGTTTGTTGCATTATTGCCCCTTCTGTTTCCAACACGTACAATGTCACGGAGTCCCAAGCACTTCTTAACAATTCTCCTGAAATTGACCACATCCAACGATCTCCTGCCATTCTTTTCAAAGTCCTGGAACACGGAGATAAAGCAAGTAAGCAGGTTATTCATTAAACCATTACAGTGCATCGTTTCACCAATAACGTATTGAAACTGCTGCTCAAATAGTTTAAAGCAGTGAATTTGGTAGTGTACAAAGACGTTGGAGTATTGCTTCAGATGTTCCCGTGTAGTGTCTGTTTTCAACTCGAAAAACACATTTTTGAGATTGCCTAATTTTATTCATAAGTCTTATGCTCCACAAATGTATAGGCATCTACAGTATCCGTTGTGAGAAAATGTTTTATTCTTGGTGAGGGCAACTGCAATCCGAGCCTATCTCAATGGACAATATAGAGACAAGACAAAGCATCATTAATTGGACACCAGTCAATTTCAAGACACCAAAACACAGGCATGATTAAGAAACACTAATCTACTAATACCAAAGACAGCATTTGGAGAAACATATTAAAACTGTACCCAGAAACACAATAAGACATTGGTTTACAGTGACCTCAATTATCTGTAATAAATTCCTTATATGTCATTTATACAAAACTAAACCTACCATTGTCTTGCTTTTTCATTGCTTCATTGACTAGTAAGTAAAATGTGTTATTTTAATTACAGTGCAAATTAAAATCTTTTTAATACTTTGCTGACATTTAATTTCTTTCACTTACAGAAGTGCTCAATCTGAACGCTCAATATTTGAAAAATGTGTATGTGAAATCTTTTGTATTTCAAAAAATAGGACATAATTGGAAGGAAGTGAATACTTTTGTCAAGCACGTAGTCATATTCATTATACTATACAAGAACTATTAATCTTGTTCAGAATTAATTTGCCCATTAAAATGTATTCTGTCCAAGAGCTGCATGAGTAAAGGAGAGGAACCATCGAAGCAATAAAAAACACTTTTTTGCACAAAGATTTAATAAGATGGAGAAAATGTTAAATGCAGTACATTTCTCTGGATACAGTGAATTAACTTTTCAAAAAAAGCCTATAATTTTCCGTGACCACCATTTTTTCAAGCATGACTTTATTACTTAAATTAAATTTCCTCAGTGCAGTCCAGATTCTCTCTAAGGAACACAGGAGTATGTAATATCTTCATGAGAAAACAAGACAAGCCCTATCATTTTCATATTTGCCCAAGATCGATTTATGTCAGTTTCACATACTACAAATATCGTATTTGTCCCTTTAAAATCTCACCTCAAAAGCCACTTTGAGCTTCTTCAGATTTTCAAGTGACACCCTCTGTTCAACCTGTATAAAACAGAATTACGTCATGCAGACTGTCCTGAAAAACCACAAATGTGTGTACACAAAGGACTGTGTGTGAAAGTGGATCATGTTCTGCCTGTTTGAAACCTTTAATGGAAACAAAACTACAGACGTTTTCAATCCGATTTAACTCACTCAAACCAACTCAAAAACAAGCAGAAACTGAGCAACAGAGAATTCTAAATATTCATGAGAATTCTCCATTCTTCTCATGAATATTTTACTTCTAATACATTTCTGAAATTTCTGAAACCCTGTTAAATCAGGGTTGTGTTTGGAACTAAGAAAATGAAATCTGCCTACACATTTAGAAAAACTTTTTGGAAGAATAAACGTGCTTCTTCTACATTCCTAGAATAAAAAACGAAACTGAACATACTTTTTTAAAACAAAAGTGAGCTATGAGTCCAGAAAACCCACCAAAACCAACAACTAAATAGATGTATAAAGATTGTACTTTGTATTACAAATTGTCTGATCATCCTTCTCTGATGATCAATGTTCTTTATCAGGCAGACAAGATCTAAGAACCAGACACGATCTTTAATATTTTATGCTTTAGTGCCATTTAAGATTTTAAGGCATAACTATTAAAAAACTACAATATAATGAAACATGCAGCTCTAGGGAGACAGCACATCAACTAATTATATGAAAATAGTGGGACCAACTTGAGACTCTAGATGTAAGTTGTTTTTTTTAAAAAGCGTGACCTCAAAAAGCAAAAAATCCACTGCTTGCTAGAATCAATGAGTTTGTCTTCTTTTAGAGAAATTTAAAAAAATGTCAGACTATCCATTTAAAATGAGAATTCTTCATTCTGAATTGTCACAGAACAATGAGATAACCTGCTGAATCTTCATTTCAGAAATGTATTTTATTTATAAAGAGAAGCACTAAAATGTATATATGAAGAAGATTTCATTTTCTCATCAATTCACACACAGATCATGCATGCTTAACTTACCAACCACTTAATAACACCTGATTGCTAAAAGACATGTTTGAATTATTAATTAAAGATTGTTAGTGTTTATCAAAACATGCTACAGTATTCTATTTTAAACCCTCTGTTTAAACCTTTCTGTTTCTCTTCTGGATGGGCATAATTAACCATTTAAAGTCAACCCTTGGAAAGACACTTAAAACACTGTGCTAACATTTTAGTCTAGATAAAGTGCACTTTTTTTTCTGCGTTTCAAGGAAAAGCTTCTAATGTGATTAATGACATCCCTAGATTTCACACAGTTCCCTAGCAACAACATAACTTCGCCTGAAGGCAGTTCTTTGGTTTTTCATTAATAAATAACAGGCAATAAACTCCTAATCTTAAAGGATGTGAAGAGATAAGGTGAGCTGGATTTATAGAGGCAAATGTTAATTATTTAATAACCTCAAGCCTTAAAAATAATAAAAAAAACATTAAAAAATTAAATTGTATTCATATCCCTGTTATATAGTTAATTAAATCAGAAATAATTGTAAACGGGAACTATATGTATATATCAATTATATAACTGTTAAATAATTAAATAAATTTCAAATGTAAGAAGGTCCTGTAAATATGTTGACGATAAAAGCAAACATTAAATCCTCCAATTTTCTTTTTGTTGTGTAGAGGTTTCACAGAGGCTTAGACAGTTTATAGAAGCTTCTGGAGCTCACTAAGATTGTTACTGGGTAATATAAAGGCTCTGGCATTAAGAGGCAGAACACCAAACCTAAACGCAATACCACTTCATCATTAGAAGCAGTCGGAGAAAAACAAGGTTGTAAAAGATAATTGACCTAGATGAGTATATTGACCTTTGAGTATAATAACAGTTCTCTAGGAATAACAACACTCACGAATTAAGTGTACTGAAAGTGTATTTAGTCAAAATATGGCATAACCTGTTTGGCTGAGGGCAGACATCCTGGCCATAAGATAAAGAGGCTGGGACCCCCATGCAGAGTGAGGAGTGACCAAGGGGCAGCTTGTCACGGTCGACATCCCCTCCTCCAGAGGGCGCTCTATTCCTCTCTAGATGGTCCTTTTAATTATTACTTCCTGGTGTGTCTAGTTAAGTCTCTTATTTAAGTTTTCTTTCCACAGCCTTCGGGGCTCAGCTTTGAAGAATGGTTGTCTCATGGCCCGCCTACCACCAGGCTTCACGGGGAAGTCTGAGGGCATAGGCCAATAATAGTCACCCTAACCTTCTGAGCCCGGGGCCTGGGATGAAGCCCCGTATTCCTGGTGTCTCTGATCCTGTTTTGTCTTCGGATGGATTTCCCGATAATATACATACGGACTGTTTCCTGATTCTCCTGTGGACCTTTACTTCTGCACGGACGTCCCTGCCATCACTGTGAGCACCAATAAACCTTGTGTGTCTCCCCTCATCTCCGTTCCCTATTCCTTTCCGGATTTGCCACCTCACATAGGATCTTAAAATACTCTTCCCACGGGAGCCTCACCCGGCAACTGTTGCACAGCTGCAAAGATAGAGAAGGGGTGGAGGTGGGGTACAAAAATATACAAAAGTGTACGAAAGGGAGAAGGGGATAATGTACAGTTATTTAAGTTTCAGGAGAGGAAATGATATCAGGAATGATTGCAAATTACTGATAGCTAGGTCTGACTGAACTTGGCTGTTGTCATCCCTCCCACATATTCATTATGAACTCCATTTAATAAAAGCCATCCACTGTTTTGTCTCTCATGTCCATCATCAAGGAATTCAAGGCTAATGAGAAGGCTGATATCTAACCAGGGATAATACACAAGAACCCAATATTCAGTCAGAAAAGTGTTTATACAGTTTTTGCTGTAGAGAATTTGAAATTATGGGAGAAATGATTTTTTTTAGTAATGAAATTGGTGTCTTGCCT